ATTCAGATAACTCAAAAGTCAATAATAATTATAGGCAATAGGAGAAAGCTTTTTGACCAGATTTCTATTGAAAGAGGAAGAACTTTCCCTTCCACAATAATCAGCTGAAACAGTTATTGTTTTGAAACAGAATAAAGTGATCTGTAAAACAGGCACATACTTATTTTGGTTTTAAAACCTTTTATTTCAGAGAGCATGCTGCTATATACAGAAGAAAGATGTGGGTCAAAGCAAGAGTGATACAGAATGGGCAACATAAACCTTTAAACCTTACATATTCCTTAAAACTTGCAGATGCTTTTACAAACTTTAGTGCACCAGTAGAACTATATATTCTTCTAATTCCTAAATCACCTCTAGTAAAATGTCATTTCCTCACAGATCCTGAGCAACCACAGCTATCTCTAGCTTTAATATAATGACAAATTCAGGTTTCCAACAGAAAACTTGTAGCAATGGTTTCAGCAAATGACTTCTACCAGTATAATATATTGAAGAAATATCACTTCATGCTGCTAATATCTTATTTCAAACAGCATCATTCAACTATGCAAACTAAGTATATTGTACATTTAGCAAAGTCTAGGCCAGGCTCAGTTAGTTTTCCTTTTCATCTTTCTTCCTCCTACTTAATTATCTTTACAGCAGTAAAACTCAGTAATCTCCCATTACTCTTCCTCCTAACAAAATACTGTCAATAACTTCCCTCCCATTTTCTTCTAGAATTAAAGTCAAGAGAGTACAACAGGGATGTTCTCCTGTCTAGTGAAGTTACATTTTATATAGTAAAGGACAAAAGCTAATCTACTTTATAATGAAGAACATGAACCAGATTGTATCATTATTTTCAGTTTTTGTGACAGCGAATGGATAACAGGCTAACAACAGGAATCTACAGAAGACAGGCACTCAAAAGAAGAAAGGCCCTAGCAGTAAGTATTTCCTCTGTGTGTGACACTCTTAGGCTCTAACTCAGGACAGCGGTTAATTTTCTACTGTAATTCTCTGTCTCATGTATTTGGCTGCTAAAGGTGGGCTTTTAGCTTTTAACATTAAGGATTTGCGCTGACAGGCCGTGATGCCAGTTGCGCAATTTGGCAAAGCGTGGGCTGTTACGTTCCGTTTCAAACCTTTCCCTGTGGCATGAAGAAAGGGAGAGAGAGAAAGACAGAGAGAGAGAGAGAGACACACACAGAGAAGAAAGAAGGGAGGGAGAAAGAAAGGGGTTAGGGACCATGGCTACAACTCCCCTGCCTTATAACTAGGGCAATAGCAATTTATTTGGATTTTTTCTTTGGCTTTCCAATCAGCACAAGGAGAGCTGCATGATCCCGTTTGGACCATCACAAGAGGTTCTGCAGTTGTTCATTTCTGAGAAGTAACTCGATGCAACTTCATATTCTTTGACTTGTGCTTGGTAATACAGGGCTGCTTTTGCTAGAAATGCAGTAAAATCCCATTGTTTCCCTGCCAGCAGGTTCTCTCAGTTTTTCCCTCCCTACCCCCAGCTGAGCAGTCAGTGAAAGTTAACTCCATACAAGCAAAATGAATGCAGATATTTTCCATTCTGTAATACCTAGGGCAACCTATATATATCCTGCTGTCCTTCGTGGAAGGACCACCAGCTACCAGTTCAGCAGTACCTTTCTAAAGCTTTTCTCAGTATAATGCAAGTGAGTACATATGCAAGTCTTCACATTTGCATAAGTATTTCTGGTCATTTGTGTCAAAAAGCAGAATAACACAGGATTTTCAAAGCACAGTCCTGTGAAGCATCGGCCACCTCCTGCCAATACCCCTAGCTACTTCCGCTTGCAAGTTAGGGTGCCCAAGCAAGTTGTAAGCAGTGTTCAGCACCTCTCAAGGTTTTATCTTTGCAAGATGTTCTATAGTTTAAATTCAGGTTTGGTTTTGTTTTTTAATAAAAACAGGAAGAGGAGACTGGGGGATGCAAGCACAGTCAAGAAGTATATCAAACAGAATGGAAAATAAAGTGTCCTGGTTATTTGCAAAATGTCATTGATTCACTGCAAACAAGGTAATTTTCCTCTCATTATTTACACCCAAAACACAAGGCAATTGAGTTAATGCAGCAGAACTTGAGAGTGAAACCAGCCAAACAGAAATGAACAGACTGGGCTGCTTTTACTCCTCAGGCTGAAGAAAGCACAAAACAATACACAGTGTAAACGCCAACAAATTCACTGATATTTCTATATTTTCTGTTCCTAATAACACAGTGTCATGCAAGTAACACTCCTGAAGGAGTCCTGATGTATGACTTCTCAAGCAATCTTTCATGCTTTTAAGAAATTCAAAGATAGAAAGTATTCCTAGCTGAAATGTTGAAGCTTCATGACGGCATTTTTGTAAGTTACATTGGAGCGTATTAGCTACAGCAAGTCTTGAGGAAATTTAAGAATTCCCTCACTGTTTTAAAGACATACCCCTCCAATCACGGAAAAAGTATTCAGAAACATCTGTTTGGCTTGAAATGGATACCATCTTTCCGGAAAATATTCCGTAACAATCATCACAACAGCAATGGAAAGTTTTCATAGCAAGTTATAATGTTACACGTGCCTTCAGAATAGCAGTAGCATGAGCAAAGGAGAATCATGCAGTGCACTCATTAACTGAAAGGAATATTCTGCCACCTTAAAACTCCTGAGCTTTATAGGTTCTGTTCAGAGCATATGTTGTGAAGTTAGAAGCAGCAATCCAGATGCGACTATTTGTGTGTAAAACAGTTCCACCAAAACTCAGCTGTATGGGTTTTTTTTCCTCACTTTCCCACACCCCCAATCATTTGTAAGAAACCTGATCACCATTTCATGCAGTCCTTGCCGATTACACTGATGAGCTGACACAGAGAGACAACAGAAAGCACCAGAGAAAGATCGCTCGCAGCATGCCCAGAGACCAGAATTTCCTACCCTATGAAATCTCTGGCAGCTTGAGTTTTGTAACATGATGGATTTTTCCAGAATGCCAGGAAAGCATGGGATTAATGCATGCTGAATCTCGTAAGACTCAGGTTCCACAGTTCCATGGAAACCTGCTTTTGGGAGCCCAGGAAACCCTCCAGGTGATCCCAAAGTGTGGAGGAAGGCATGGTTGTACAGGCTACCTAGAGTAGATACCGAAGAGGAGTTTCTATTCCATTTTGTACTGGAAGAGCGGAGTTAAAATACAGATTCTATGCATCTGACACAGATCCTTCTATCCTTTACAGAATCAAAAGTGCCAGGCGCCTTGCAAAAAGGTTAAACAGAAGGGGGGTCCAGTATGCCCAAGAGAGTGGTATGTGATATATGCATGCATAACCAGGACTGTTGCTGTGAGATCTGCAGTGGAGGATGTGCAATGGTTTGAGGCATTAGGCCACCAAGATGGGCAAGCACTATCAGGTAGGAAGGAGACCCCATTTAATTCCTTTCACCAGAACTCATGCAATCTGCACTGTGTAACTACCTAGTATATATTCCCTTCTGCTTCTACTACCAATTAATGCCCTTGAATCTCTCTGGGTAATGCAGCTGTGCCTAGCTATAACCATAACTGTTCTTGTTGAAAAAAGGGTAACAGTGATACCTGAAGACTGCAAAAAAATAAGTGAAGCACAGTGGATATAGTCATGTATTTTCAGTTACACTGAACAGAACGTGCAATTTACACATGTTGATGTGTTACTAGAAAATTATTTTCAATGTATCTGATACCATGTTATGTTCCAATATCTATTATTTTCCAAAGCCACAGACTACAGCTAGAAAGATTATTTCTTTAGAACAGCAGACTACTCCCAGACATATATAGGGTCTGTTAAATTCAGCACAATGTTTCAAATCCCATCATAAGGATTTGGATTTATGCCATTACATCAAACCAGATAATGCACAATATATTTAATCAGAATTAAGCTTGCACATTTGAGAGAAGAAATAAATCCCTTAGGGATGTAATACCAAGCCTGATGTTCAGGCACCTAGCCATAAATTTCAGTGAACTGCAATGGAAGGTTTATAGCAAACACAAAACTGAAAGTATACTTGTATTTTCACAGGCAAAGATGACAGACATCTTTCTCACTGATTCAACATTTGTAACTTGCACTGAGATCAAAAGCTCAGAACCTTTATGGAAACCACATGGCTGTTAAAAAAATTATTAGAAAAAGGAATAAGTGGATTGAGTATCAAAACCATCACAAACCCAGCCAGCAGCTCAGAGTAGCTAACGTGATACAGGGATTTGAAGTATGCAAATAGAAAACCAGTCTTGCATGCAGGACACTCCCATTCAACTGCAGTTTTTAAGCTTGACAAAAAAAATCTGTAATAAATCTGTATCTATTTTCCTGGCAATGCAAAGATGATAAATCTGTAATTCCTTATTATACCTCTGAATATATCCACTTTTTCAGTGTTCTGGGTAGGTCATATGAAGCAAATATATCTACCCACTAGCAAAAGCAGTCCTGTGCTTCCACATCCTACAAATAAGTTTGTATTTATTCCAAGCAAGACATAAGCAAGTGATTATGGATACAGATGGAAACAATTCATTTACAGTATCTTTTCAGGAGAATAAAATGTCACTCACAGGGTCATCCAAATAAATTGCTCACAAATTTCAGTGCTATCACAACATTATACATTGTCATCCAGTTACACAATCAAGTAGTTACACAAGGCTTGGTCTTAGGAACTATTGCATTCACAGACCCAGTGAAGTATACAAAAGTTGCATGTGCAGAGGGTGTTCGGGTTTGGACACACACTTTAGGAGTTTTGCACTGTTTTTCCTAGAAACGTGCTAATTTTGTTATCCTTTTCATTCAAATGCCTCTCAGTAATAGCACTTTTAGTGACTTAAGTAAATGTATTAGAAAATTTGAAGACAAAAATATAATAATGCACATTCATATTAATGCTGGTTTAAAACATTTCTGGTTATCAGTAAGTAGAAAACCGTATTTTTCACAAGGAGTTGCCTACCTTGACCTCCTCAGGGCTTCTTCATCTGGATCTTGCACTGCAGGCAAAAAAAATATTGCAGTTGAAAAAGAAAGGAAAGAAAGAAGGAAAGAATTTGCTTTCTGATGAAATTTTAAAGTGCTTTAGAAGTATATGTAAAGGTACATTCATGCTGACTTCACAGCAGCGGATTTTGTAAGAACACCATGAAGAGAAGCAAGCCCCCAGAGCTAGGAAAGACATTAGTAGGAAAGTAGCTGTTGCAAATACTTCCTCATTCATTTATTAGCAATGTTTCACAGCTGTAGACAATGATCCTACAGAGAGGGCCACCTGTTCTGCAGGAAAGCATGAGAAGAAGCAGCAGATTTCGTTTAATGAGAAAATACTAAGTATTCCCCCCTGGTGTGGGAAAAGTCCCTGAACTTCCTTCTGTCCAGGCCAGAAACAAGCTCTGAGGTTAGTACCAAGCAGTCAGAAAAACACTTCCAACAGGCACAAGCAACAAAGTTCAAGCTCCTAGGACATTCACAGCAGTTCTGGGTTCAGGTAACAGGATATAGCTGTAGGTTCACCACAAGTAGTGATCCATGATTGTTTTTTTTTGACCTCTGGATGTCACTTCTATAAGACTGTGACAAGAGATATAAGTTGTTCATCTTCTCTAACGAATGGACAGCTTTGTATGTCTAGGCTGCTGGAAAATGAAAGATTATACTGCAGAGATATGATTTGTAGCTAAGAACTATGGGGTCCCAAATGCTCTATTACTGTAGAGTCTGTTATACTTCCGTGGTGAGACCCACGGCAGATCAAAGAATTTTCTTCGTAATCAGTGAGACTAAACATTTTGATTTCACAGTTCCTTCCAGTTACACCCAAGGTTCTCGGATCTTAGCCCTCACTGACAATGACAATACACTGGATGTGAGTCTTCCTTGAGTATCAATTGCTAATACTGGCCTAAGAAAATAAAAACATGAGTCTAAAATCGAGATGAGGGGGATGTTTTGTTATTCCACTTACTGTACTCCGTTCCAGTCATCTGGGCAAGGATGCGAAAAGACTTGGACTGCAGATTGGCAGAACGGCGACTCCAGTCTTCACTTTCATCTTCAGGCTTGTTCTGAGTTTTAAGCACAGCCTGATACACCGGAGAGGCACTGTCTACGTGAGGATCTTTAAGAGGAAGGGTACTGCAATTCAGAAAGTGAAACGTTGTGAAATAGCACATGGTAGCTGTCTTCCCAACCTCTCTCTGGTCTTAGCTCCTCATCCAGCATAACAGCAATCTAAAACATGTCTTTGAAAACACCATTTTTCAAAAACACCCCACATAGATTGATTTTATGTGAATGAAGAATATTGTGGCTCATTCTGTCTTTGAAATGGCCTGTTATCATTCAAATCTGCATATTCAAAACAGTGTGAAAATGCTTGGAGATGTCTGTTCATGATTCCTCAGCCAATGCAGCCACCAATTTACAGTGGTTAAAATAATGGGTGGTGGCAAATGAGAGTATGCCAGGCAAAACCATTTATTCCTCTGAGCATTCTTGTCCTATATTATTTCTTGTAAAAACAGCTTCATGTTGATACTGTTTTATGTTATGTCTTATTATAGTTTGGGGCCAGTATCTTTTAAGGATGCAATTAGAAATAAAACCCATATCTCATTATAAAAATAATGTGATAGGCTTTTATAAATTTTCTAGAGATTATTATTCTTTCAAAACTCTGAGTTAAACTTTCAGCTGCCATAACTCTGGATTCATTGTCTACTAAACATGTGAAGCGTAAGACGTCTATACTTGTACTCCGTACTCCACTTGCATACATATTTTGTATCTGAAGTTTTTAACAGCAGAATGTACCTCAGAGTCTTATGACATCTCTGAAGTATGAACTTGCAAAGTGATATATCCAAGAAGAGAATCCCAATTTTGCACACCTAAAGTCAAAGCTACCAACCTCTGTAGCACAAGTGTCGCAACGTCTCTGATTCATGATGCAAGCTAGAAACAGACTTAGTAACTTAACAGCCTTTTTTTTTTCCCCCTGTGAAAATAACTTCTGCATAGCATACAATTAAAATTAACAGAGCTGCAGAAATATATGCTGAGGGGATGATGTTTGCCTGGCATAACCTGGCTCCATGACTTCTGTAAATACAAGATCTATTTTTCAAGCATGTGATTTATTGTAACAGCTTTAATATGCTATTCCATACAGAGCTTTGCAAGCAGCATGCTCAACTTCATCAAAACTGTGAAATGGCTTAAAAATTAAGGGCCATTTGTTCCAGCTAAGTCACTGCCATAAAATTCCAGGAGCAGTTACCTGCTATAAAAGTTGCTTTCTTGTTAACTCAAAGTTTGTGTTCTCTAAGTTATCATTTTACAGAAAAAATCTGAAGAGAAGTTGGGTTTGAAAGCCTGAGAGGAATCATGAAAAAGCCAAGAAGCATGTCTGATGTCCTATGTACAGCAATTACTGTCATAAAAAACTATTACCAGGTCATGCTGTAAACATCAGTATTTCCAGCTGACACACTCTTCTTCAGCACTGTGTCATAGATGCTCTTTTAATGGATTTGCACCTAACAATAGCGCAGGATGTGTTCTTTGAGTAAGACTGGAAGGGGCTCTGGGCCATGATGTGTGTTTATATACATATGCTACAGGATTTTTTTTCTTAGAGGAATACTTATATTCCTCATAACCCCCTGATAAATGCATCTCACTTCCTTGAGGATCCACCAGAGTACAAAACCCAGTTATTTTTCTTTTATATGTTTCACCACAATCACCTATGTGATGGAGCATAGCTTAAAAAAAGCCTGACCCTACACTTTAAGCTCTGCCACAGAAAATAAAAGTTACATAAACAAGTCCCTGAGCATGGAGGCACTTCAGGCCTATGTCTTGGTACTGGCTAAAAAGCAGACAGGACCTTACCCTATAATATTGTCATAGGCAACTGCCTGACTTTGGCCAACAGTTAACTTTGAATCCCCAGACTTACTTTTTAACCCCACTGAAGTTTAAAAACCTGCTGTGATAGCAAATTTCACAGCTGCAGACTGTTGTAGGGTGGATAATAAACCACTAGATAGATAACACTGCTGATTTTTCAACCATAGACTGCAACAGCAGCATGCAAGTCATGGACAGTTCAAAGTCCTGTGTTTAAATCCTCTTGCTGAAATGCTTTGTTCTTCTATTATGACATATTATCTTCTATAATATACAAAAAAAAAGCAGTGTAAAAGTGTATGCATAGATAATGTCATTAGCTCAAAGGTAGTTAAAAAACGCTAAAGGCTGGACCACAAATTTCACAGTAGCAATATATGGCATTAATATGACATTAATATCCTTATGCTAGATGATTAAGGCAGGAAATGGAGCTTGGTGAATTAACCTTCCCTAGCAGAGTGAAACATGCTCATATAAATTGAACTAAATACACTGGAATATTTCCAACTGTCTTTAATGCAACAGGCCTTTTTCATTTTTTAAAATCATAATTATATTGTAGATGAGTAACTAGGCCATATAAGCCACTCAGCATGGAAGTGTAAAATAGAGCGCATCGTTGATTACCATCATTTAATAAACCTAAATGTGACAGTTCATTCTTACAGGCAGCATAGAGATGAACATAACCATGTTAATACCTCTGTTATACCTCTTCTTAATTTAATTTCTTCTCCATCTGGGTGTGTATGTGCAGAAATACCATGTATCTTTAAGCATATTACTTTAAATAGATGTTATTGAAAAAAATAACAGCTTTTGAGGACTTTCCTTATTATAAGCTATTTCAGTAGGTGTCAATAGAAAAATGTCCCCTTTCTTCACATCATCATACAAGTCACACACTAATAACATTAAAACAAGCTTTAAAGATAGTCAAACCTCTTTGAATAAGTAGCAATGTGATTTTTTTCCTTGCAATTCATTATAAACTAAGGCTTACCATGTGAATCAATCCCTGGAGTCATTATTCAGATTTAAGTACATAAGTAGAAATTTAGCAACACTGTAGTGTTCTACCCCTAGTGCAGACATTTGATAAAATATTGTGACTTCAGATATTAGACTGATTCCAGTCTAAATTAAATTAACTCAACAAACAAACAGTTCATTTAGACTGGTAAACTATCTAACCAAGTTGATTTACTGTAGAGGATACATGAGACTTTAATTTGCGCAATCACATTATTGATCCTGCTACTAGAACTGTTAGATCTTAATCCCGACAAAGTTACAGGATTTATGCATACTTATATGACTTGTGAATTTGGTTAAAACTGCATAACAGAATTTAGAAGATGTTTGACAGAAATGTACTTGAAATGTACTGACCACATAGTTATACTGCAACTCTTGGCTCTTGGTATAGCAAAATCAATTAAAACAAAGCAACATAGAGTAGAAAAGATATAAAGTCAGGGCATTCTATTTTTTCTAATTTTAAGTTCCAGCATGAGATCTGAATAACTGCAGTAGAAATAATTTATATGCTTTCCTTTGTGTTTTCAATTTCTGTGGGTTATATTTTCTAAGTGACATGAACCCGATTCTGATCTCACTAACTTAAATTAAAACATCACTAGTTTCAAACGGTCAAGCTAGAAATTGAATTCCTATCCTAAGCCTGTCTCTTTATCACTGATAAAAGTAGTAAGCAGCATTTCCAGCTATTGTCTGCCACAAAGAACAGAAGCCCTCTAGATCTGCAGTCTGAATATGCTTACCATCACCCTGTGGCTTCAGGGCTTATCTCAAATGCAAAATGAAAAGCCCAAAGAAGAGCAATTAAATGCTGAGACCAAATCATAGGCAGAGAATTGAGACAAACTGAAGCAGTACACAATGGTCTACTTTTACATGACAGTCTTCTCAGACAAATACGTCTGCATAAGCATAATCAATCAGACTCTATCAGCTAAGCAAACTAAAGAACATCCTTGGTTTCCACAGCAAATTAAAGTTCAGAATATTACAAAGGTCAAAACAACACCTTAAGGAAATGAGTTACAGGTTTAATTAAAAGCTTATCAGTCAATGGGTAGGCCGTTACATCAGCACAGACCTTGTCTTTATATCTAGACCAAAAATGCTGTGTTAATTGTAATAAGATAGTCTACTGAGAAAATTGTTTAGTCACTGTTAACCAGTTTAAAATCCAGAAGTTACAAGACAGGCTGTAGCTCACAGCACAGTAGATTTAGAAATTCCCCTGCATCTGACCATGTATAAAAATAGGAACATTAGTTTATCCTGGGGCCAGGTGAATGTCAGGCTTAGGGGTCGCATTCCAAAATTAAGGACAAGCTTAAACAGTAGTTTATGTACTGGATCTTGAAGAAAAACTTTTCTGCAACATTACAGGGGAGAACATAGTCATGGAGTTAGTTGTCTGCAAAGATTAGTGTTCCTCTGGAACTGCCTGATACAAAAGGATTAATGGAAATAATCATTTCAAAACCAGCCATGCAATAGTTGGATTCCATGCTCAAAATGAGAATAAATAGTTAGAACAGAGCTTTTGCTAGTGGCATTCAACACAGCTCTTGCTGTGACTGGTGCAATGACTCAACAGTCCCTGAAACTCCATTTTTTATTTGTTACCTATGTATCCATTCATTTAACTCTTTTCAAGATATATGTATATACCAATATAATTATTTACCACATTATGATTTATGATTCAAGCCCCTCTAGTTTTTCAGATTCGTTACTTCATAATTTTGCATGTTAAAACAAATCCCTGCCCCTCGTAAGTGTGCTGGTCTTCCAGCTCTAGTTGCACTCGTTGGCCTTCTCTCAGTCTATCTGCGATTTTCTAGAAAGGGCATTTTCTGCTCCCCATAGCACAGGGTGGTTTGATCTCTTCCACTGGTGGGAAAAGATTATAACATTTTCCAGTCCAGCAGAGCCACTCCCGCGACTGGAAGTGCATTTCAGAGATTCTTTTAATGTGCTGTTTAGAAAATGAAAAGGATCCACATGCTCAGTAGAGCAACTTTATAATCATCTAGCCATTTAAATAGGTAAAACTTTTAAACATTGCTATTCCCATTACAATGTTACAGCGTTTAGTAGAAAATGACAATATATCACAAAATGTCTCTCATAATCCATGCCTATGAAACACACGAACCTTTATAAAGAACACAGATAGAATG